GGGGCTTCCTGGAGCCCCTCTGCTGCCCTCCCACGCCTGCAACCGGGGGCTCTGCATGGAAGGGCTGGGCAGCCTCCTGGCAGGGCTGCTGGGCACCCTGGGGGGCACGGCCGCCAGCATCGCCAACACCTGCACCACCGGCCTCACGCAGGTATGCCCGGGGTGAGGGGGAGGAAGATCGGCAAGGGATGGGGAGGCAATGGAGCAGGAGGTGTGGGGGACCTGTAGCACTCAGACTGTTACTGAGCCAGCAGTGGGAAAGGCAGGCCTGTATGGCAGGATGGAGGGGACAGAGTTGGGGGTGATGCTCCCCATCCTCAGTTTCCCATCCTTCCTTCTGCCAGGCTGGCTCTCGCTTCTCAGTGCAAGTAAGCGCGCTGACGTGCATGGTGCTGGGCATGTCCCCGAGGATGGCAGGGCTCCTTACCCGCATCCCGCTGGCAGTTCATGGTGAGTGCCCTGCCCTTCCCCTCCAGTGCGGTGCCCACAGCCTGCCTGGCACTGCCTGACTCCTGCCCCTCACAGGAGGGGTGCTCTGTGTCACCTACGCTGTGGCCGTGGGCATGGGGATCTCCTACTTCCAGTATGCGGACATCGATTCGGGGAGGAACATCTTCATCGTTGGCTTTACCATGTTCATGGCGCTGCTGGTGCCACGGTGGTTCGGCGTGGCTCCGGCTCACCTGGCCACAGGTAGCGGGGACATTCCCCAGGCAAGGCAAAGCCTCCAGCCGTGTGGCATGATGACCACGCATCTCTGATGTCGTGGGAGGCTGGCTCAGCTCACGGCAGCAGGCAGCTACCTCTACAGTCCCTGGATCTGCCATGGCATCTCCTGCCCATTTCTTACTGCAGGCTGGGTGCCCCTGGACCTCCTCTTCATCTCCCTGCTCATGGTGCCTGTCTTCTTAACTGGCTTCTTGTCATTTTTCCTGGAGAACACAGTCTCAGGTGAGGGGCTGCTCTAGGTGCTCTACATGAGCCCCTTCTTTGAGGGCTGGATCTGGCCATGGGACTGTCCCCAAACTACTGTCTCTGCCTCCAGGCAGTCCCGCCAGGAGTCCCGGGGCTGGTGTGGGCTGGGAGGCTGTAGCTGGAGGAAGGGGCTCCCATCTCACTGCCTGCCACCCTGCTTGCAGGAACCCTGGAGGAGCGAGGGCTGCTCTTGGAGCTGGTGCCACAGAAAGCTGGGGCAGGCAATCACCACCCCCATGGTGAGAGGGACGAAGCCAGCCAGGCATATGGGCTCCCCACCGGGCTGAGGAGGCTGCTGCCATCCTTCTGCAAAGCCTTCCCCTGCTGCTTCCTCTGCCCAGAGAATGAGGAAGAAGAGGAGGAGGGTAGTTGTGCCACCGAGGAGGGGGCTGCTGCCCCCGGGGAAGGGACTCACCTGCTCCCAAAACCCGGCTCTGGGGAGTCGCAGACAGCCAGGAGGCTGAGCGAGGTGGATATGCCCACATGGCACACTGTGGCCTGACCACACGGCGAGGGGACACTTCATGGGGGACCGGGGCTGTGCCCCTAAGGCAGCTTGTGAGCTACTTTCCTCCTCGTTTCTGAAGCCTGTATGGACTGAAGCGACCTGCACTTCCACACTCCCAGCATGAACCTCATTTCCCTGCTTAAGAGTGAGCTATAAAAACCTTCAACCAACTTTGCACTTTCCAGGGGTTTCCTTTCCAGGCAGCATTTGCCTGGGAGATGCAAGCCCACCCTCCCCTAGTACCATAAAGACTGTGACCATGGAGGGCATGGCCACCTGGTGCCACCACAGCTGGGGATGTGGATGTCCCTAAAGCTCCCCATCACTCTGTGGATGTGGCTGGGGAAGGGCTCAGTGCTTTGGCCAGCCCCAAAGGATTGTTGCCCTGCTGGCACTGTGCTCAGGAAGGGCTGGCTCTTTACCTCCTCCCTGCCCTGTCCCAGCTGTGACTGTGTCCCCTTGATGCCCATGGCACCAGGTGTATACTAATGCAGGATGCCCCAGGCTGGGGGTGCAGGTCAGTTCCCCCAAACAGTGAATCCCTTCACCTGCAGTGGGTTGGTCTCAGCAGCTCTCACCACTGAACTGCCCCCTCTGTATTGCTCTTGTTGCTAAACCAGCCAGCAGCAGATTTCTCCAGGGAAGGAAAACATTGCCTTTGACCTTCCTGATTAAGTTCGGTGCCTGGGTTCTTTCCCTGCTGCTGGCTGTTTATACCAACTGCAGCAGAGTCTGCACCAGCCCTACTTGCTGCTCCAGCATTTGCAGCAGTTCAGAGTCCGCAGCAGGGACCTGCACTCCCCATGCTGCCTCCACCAGTCTGAACTGGCCTGCAAAAGCCCAGCAGTGGGGCAGGAAAGACTGGGGCTTTACAGCCCTTGGGTGCTGCAAGCTGACTCCGGGTGCAAGCTCGAAGGAAGGATGGATTTGGGCTGGGATGATGATGGATCTGGTCCACAGGAGTGATGTGCTCAGGGTGGATCACAGCTCCAGGTTCTGGCTGCCCCTTCCACCTGGTCCTGAGGAGCCCCCTGATGCCCAGGAACACCCAAAGGTGGCTGCAGGGTGGGAGGGAGGTGGTGTCACTGTGCGTGTAGGTCCTTGGGGTGAGCCCCCTTTCCCCAGCTGCCTGTGAGCCCTGCAACTGGGCCCTGTGCACCCAGTGGGCACGGGGGTGTAACGCACAG